GGCAAGTGCGAAGGACAACCAGTAACGACCGAGACGAGTTTGATAGCTCATTGGAAAGGGAGGGATCTATTTTCAATTCATTCAAAATTCCATAGCAAAAGGTTCATGCATCATGGAGATATTCATGAATGGGTGCAGCAACGTTGAAGTCATAGCTCAGGGAAAAGCTGATGTTCATGCAATATCCATATTAAAAACACATAATGAAATTTACATGGAAAATATAATAAATCAGATAGTAGCACTACGTAAAGTCTCAGGCCAATCGGCCCAGCCATTGTGAAGTTATGCCAGTGATGGGAATAGAGTATCCTGCACTATGTTGAAGGACACATAAGGGTGGCAATGCAAAGGGAACTGGTTGTCGGAACTGAGATCTGCACTTCAGGAGATTACAAAGACCAATTTCTGCCCAAATATGGTCAAACTCTGGTCAAAACAAAACATGGAGAATGCAAAAATGCCTTAGAACATCATGGAAAAATATGAAATAAATCATGAAAGCCCATATTAAGGTTATAAACACCCACGCATACAATAAATCCTGAATGATTAAACACATACAAACAAGTATGAGAACAACACATGTGATTGCTGACTGTGCACACAAACTTTCGCTAACTTGGTGAATAATGAGAGTTAGAGTATGACCTTGGTATCGTTAGAAAGGTTGGAATAAATGTAAATTGATGGTGCTAAGAACGTGAAAAACCATTAAGAAATGGGTGAGATATTAGGACATGAAGTTGGTGCCTGAAGATGTGCAGGAAGACAACTTCTAGAGGTCCCAAGCCCTGAATAAAATTCATAAAAATATGCTATCATTGTGGATGACTTAGTATAACAATAAAAAATACCTACAGAGGATTAGGATGCAAGAATATGAATGGGAACAAGGGGAAATGGATGAAAAACCACAAAACTATGACAGACCATGGTGGGAATTTTAGGGAAAAATATACTATAGAGCAGACAACTCTAATCCATTTGTCTGTTCAATCTTAACTATGATCAACTCTTCTTGTTCTAAATTTAACCATTTTGTTTGTTTATCATTTCAAGTCCCATTTCAACTAAATGTCACTGGATAAAAATAGAATAAATCAGCTGAAGTCATAGTGCAGCCATACATGCAGTAACATGCAGTCTGAATTCAGAATGACTGAGTCATAGCAAACTTAATGGTAAACAAGTAGAATTTGAAATAAAAACTGTGACAAATGCGGCACAGTCAAGTTCTAATTAAAACATTAAAATAACTTAGGCAAGGAAAAACAATGAGAATTCTAGGCACAGTCTGACTGCAGCAGGGCTGCAGTTCAGCACAGCTGAAGTGCAGTAGAATTATAGTATGAAAATTTAATTTTTTATTCAGTTTGAGGAAAATACACTGTAAATAAATCCTGTAAATACAAGGTAGAGCATGAAAAAGGAAGGAAACCCAAGGAGTATAAAAGGGAGACCCTTTCTGTGACTTTACACCCCCCTCAGAGAAGTAAGAAATAGAGTATTATTTTTCTCAAGCATTTCTGGTTATCACTCCAGTGTGAAAAAGTGAAATACAGTTAAGATTGCCACTGTAGTCAAAGGCAGCAATCAGGGAGAGAAATATTAAGTAAATATTTCAACAGGAGAGCTGGTTAACACTCCAGATTTCAAAAGCGTACACAAAATGGTTATTTTGCTACTGTTAAAAATAAGACACAAATAAGACAAGGCCAAGGGACACTTCAGACACAATCTAACATCATTCATGGAGTAAAATCTTTGAAAATTCACCAAGTAGAAGATTGATTTCAGGTTAATATTCCAAGTTTAACAATCCTACACAGAATTATACCTAGATAAATTGAGAAATTACACTAAGGGAACAGCTCTGCAGGGTTTTGTTCATCTGTAAGTCATTTCCCAGAGACTTTTAGACTAACTCATAAAACAGAATACTCAGATTAGTACTATATTTACAACAAATTTACTAGTACACTTCCCCATCCAACCTAAAGAACCAGGGAACAGATTGGTGGTGGTCTTGTTAGAACCTCCCAACTGACCTTCCTTCATTCTCTCCTTCACCACCTACAGCAGTCACAACCTTCAGTTGCCAGTCCTCAGTGTAAGGCAGACTTTGACTGAAGCAAGTGCAAATATGATTCAAATGATGCAAATATTTAGTTTGGCATCATCTTCATGGTGCCAGGGTTCAGCACCCTGCCCTAGGGTCCCCCAGACTCCCCAACCACTCCCTTCCTTCCATTCCTTCATTGCTGCCTTGTTGTTGCCTTTGTGTGTTGTGTATATATATGCATGTGTGGGATAGCATGGGAACTTTCTGAGTGAGCAGTTCACCCAGAAACCAGCACAGCCACAACTGTGGAAACATTCTGGGCAAGCAACTTGCCCAGAATCTTCCCACACTCACTGGGCACTGCCACCTGGATGTCCCCTCCAGGTCACACTACACAACTCTAGGAGCTGTATAGTTGTGGGCATGTGACCCATTCATTTATATAGCAACTGTATGGGGAGATGAGACCTTTTACCCTTCTTCTCATCTCATGCCCCACATAGTGTGAGGACAGGCCAGATGGGGGATGAGGTCAAGGGGCCTCCAAGTCCAAGGCTGGGCCCTGACACATGGAGAATTCCAATGTTATGGAAATGGGAATTTCCTATTTCTAGCCTCTTATGGGCCCTGTGTGCTATATTATCACTGAAAAACACCATTGTTGATGCTACTGTAAACCCAACTGTGACAACACCTGCTATACTATCTGTAAAACCTTCTTGTTGTCTACCTCCTCCACTGCACCCAAATGCTATAGAAATGGACCAATTAGGCCCCATTTTTATAACATCCAAGCTTGATCCTATCAAATAGACCCAACACTGGCTTGTCCATATAACTTGGGTCATTTTTGACAGAATCACAAAGGAGTTGGTCTTGGCAATATTCTGACTGTCATCAAGAACACCTGCACCACACAGATCAAAGCCTGGCTGCCCATTGGCACAGTGAATGAATGCACCACAAGTTGTTAGCTGGAGTAATCATTCCACACTGCATAAGTTCCACTCATGGACTTTTAATGAAGTGGTTAAAGTGTGTCACAGCATCCTTAAATGTATCCAGGAACGTTGGAGTGGAATTATGGCTGTGATGGGAGCATTTGGCACAGCTTGCAGGGCATCAGTTGCTTTATCACAAGCCAGGGTCAAGAGAAACATCACAAGCAGCTCCCCTTGATCACCTTGATGTATGGAAAAGCTGCTGAGGACATTTTGCATAACCACAACAGAGTTAAACCCCTTCACCACACATGCAGCTGCTTCAGCAACTAATGGTGAAACCCTCATCATAGTTTCAGAACCTTAGTCTATTCAAAGGATACACACTTGAAGTGACCTTCAACCTGAGTATGCTCTTGTTCTTTGGTGAAGTAAGATGTTGGGTTAAACTCCAGTGCAAGATGCTGTGGGAGGCAGGCTAGTTTTTGCTCCTTTGTAAGATCAGTAATGTTATTTGCATTGAGGAGTTTCAACTGGGAAGATAAGAGCAAATCCAAAGCTACATTTGGGAAGTGCTTTGCACACAATCCCCACCTAGCAAATTTCAATAACAAACTTCACCTGACAATGTGACTGGATGAATGGGATTGTACATTGGCCTGCCAAAGTTTGCCATGAAATGACCTTCAGTCACTTGCACTAGTGAATGCAAACCATCACTTATGTTGTTTGCATAAGCAAGGCAGTTGTATCCTAGGTCTGAAAATGCCAGAATCAACTGCAAACATCCATCATTCAACCACTGAGATACATCAGGATAGTGGATTGAGACCAGGCTTGATATTTTTTTAGTGGTAGCCAAGATGAAAGCAAAGAGCAGCCATGGTTTCATCAAGTGTAAAGATTCAGCATAACTCTGCCATATGTGAATTGGGTGTTGGAGCTCCAGTTAAATCCAAGAAAGCATTGCTGAGAAAATGAGCTTCATCAAAGGGTAAGAATATTGTAGTTTTTATGGCGCCAGAATTCATTTTATTTCAGGGTAATCATTTTGGTTTTTGTAGCCCATCCTCAATAACTTTGGATTATACTTCTGGAAGAGACAAGTGTAACCAAGGAATTCCACATAGAATACAAAATCACCACACTTCTTCAGCAATGTGAGCTACCTCCTTGTAAAAAGATCAACACTTTGCATTCACAACAATAAGAATGGTGAGGGCATTAGTACAACCCCATTAAAACAAACCCAATGAAGAAAATTGACAGAGAAACTATTGTACATGGTTTATTCATGGAAAAAAAAATTCCACCCCCTCATACACACTGATTAATGACTTGCAATAATAATACCAAATGAACAGGGGATTAATGCAAGCCCATTGCAAAAAGCTTTATGAGAAACAGTCAAGAACTGACAGAGATATGAATCCTGTGTCAGCTCTGCAGATGATCTGTGCATGGGAAACCACCTCCAGTGCCTCACAGATGTCTTAAAAATATGTAAAAATATCGAGTACTTGTGTTGATAGTATATAAGATAGCATGCAATCTTTGGGGCATTTGGTTTAGTATAAAGTGAGATATGATAAATTCTTTTATTAATTTTCACTTGGCACCCTCAAAATCACAAAGTAATAGGTTGAGGCAATAGGACCAAATGTAAAGGACATTGACACATGCCCATTGAAAAAGACCCAATGAGAAACAGATAAGAATTGGCAAAGATACAAATTCTGTGTGCCAAGGTGGCTGAAGCTCAGGAGGAAGATCAGGATACTTTGAAAAAAGTGTGTAACATGTTCCCAATCATGTTAACATGATTCCTTATCTGAAATATTTGTAGAAGAAGCAGTGCTGTGTTTGCTTTGCCATCTTTATGGTTGAATTGCCTAATGAAATTAGTGGGAAATGTTTAACTGAGCATGGTATGTCCTATAAATTGCATAATTTGCATCTCATACTTACATCAAATAATTTATAAGGGAAGGATCATGGACCACTTCCGGCAGGCCAAGACAGCCATCCTTAGTATAAGGGGACCCCCTACTCCTGTACATCAATCTACTTCCTCAAAGCCAAGCTTTGCTATTCCAACAGTCCAGGCAGCTGTTTCTACTGGAGCTGCCATTGATTCCTCACTTACCCCTACTGTGGCATCTATTGTTGGGGGTGCTGTCCACTACAAAGGCCAAGCTTCAACTTTTCAGCTAAAACAACATTCACCTGCACCACCATGAGGATATTCAAGTCTCCTGAAACAGAACCAGTCAACAAAGGATGCAAAAGCTGGTCCTGTCTCCTTCAAGATATATCTTTTCCAGTGAAGTCATCAGTTATGGTGAGCCTACCAGATATAGCTACCGTAAAATTGGCTTTTTATCAGCTATCTATGTATCTATACTTTAGATTCTTGAACCATCAGCAGTATACAGCAAGTACATTGATGCAGGAAATTTGGGGGGGGGAATGAGGGGAAATTTGAAGGTGTCATATCTGTACAATCCTGACCTCCACTCCAGGCTCCCAGAACTCTGAACCTGACTTTCGGAGTCCTACTTCCCTTCCATCACCTTCTCCTTGCCAACTTCCAAGAGGTTATCCCACCTCCAGCTCTGACACCACCTTTGGTCCGACTCCAGAACATTCCGGGTCCGACCTCATCCTCGACACCTTCCAGACAAGCATGCAACACCTATGCTCCCGACTCCGGAACCTCCAGTCTTAGCTCCAACCTTGGACTTTGACCCCACCTCCACTTATACCCATTGTATTGGTTAGCTCATTCCATTTAATTACCTTTGCCAATATTCCGGAGTTTAACTTCTGAGTTCGGACTTTCCGGACTTACGTTGGACCTTGCAACTATTGCATTGCTCCATTCAATTCCGCTATACTCCCTCATTCCTATTTGGGCTGCTGCTTCCTTTCTATTCAGTCAGCTAGCCATTCCCCACTCCCATCCTCCTTCCTTCCTCCTTGGGCCTTGGCCCTTCACTCCTCCTTTGGGAAACACCATTGAGTCAAACCCTTGACCCTCAGTGTTGTTCCTCATTCGAGCTCCTTTTGTCTCCTTTCAGAGTACCCTTGCTCCTTTTGATTCCAGACCCCTCTGTTAGAACGTGCGGATTCGGACTCTGGAGTGGAATTGGAGACTTAGTGTGGAAGGACCTCAGCCTCAGTGACTCAGGTGGAGCACTGTGCCATTGCTGGTTGTCCTAGGGGTCCCTAATTTCGGATCTAGCAGAGGGAAAGTCTCTTGGGGGGAATTCATGTCGATTTCGGACTGAGGTTACAAGTTACTATGTACATTGTATATAAGGAGGGGTCCGGAATCAAAAGGAGCGAGGGTAGGACAAAAGGAGACAAAGGGAGATGGAAAGAGGAACAACACCAAGGGTCAAGGGTTTGACTCAATGGTGTTTCTCAAAGGAGGAATGAAGGGCCAAGGCCCAAGGAGGAAGGAAGGAGGTTGGGAGTGGGGAATGGCTAGTTGACTGAATAGAAAGGAAGCAGCAGCCCAAATAGGAATGAGGGAGAATAGCGGAATTGAATGGAGCAATGCAATAGTTGCAAGGTCCGACATAAGTCCAGAAAGTCCGAACTCGGAAGTTAAACTCCGGAATATTGGCAAACGTAATTAAATGGAATGAGCTAACCAATACAGTGGGTATAAGTGGAGGTGGGGTCAAAGTCCGAGGTTGGAGCTAAGACCGGAGGTTCCGGAGACAGAGACGTGAACGGGATTCCGGAGCAGAGGTCCAGAGTTGGGAGCATAGGTTTTGTGTACTCGTCTGGAAGGTGTCGAGGTTGGGGTCGGACCCGGAATGTTCCGGAGTCAGACCGAAGGTGGTGTCCAAGCCGGAGGTGGGATAACCTCTTGGGAGTTGGCAAGGAGGAGGTGATGGAAGGGAAGTAGGACTACGGAAGTCAGGTTTGGAGTTCTGGGAGCCCAGAGCGGAGGTCGGGATTGTATGGATATGACACCCTCCTTATATACAATGTACATAGTAACTTGTAACCTCAGTCCGAAATCGACTTGATTTCCCCCCAAGAGACTTTCCTTTGCTAGATCCGAAATTAGGGACCCCCAGGACAACCAGCAATGGCACAGCGCTCCACCTGAGTCACTGAGGCCAAGGTCCTTCCACGCTAAGTCTCTGATTCCACTCTGGAGTTGTCCAAATCTGCATGATCTAACTGAAGGGGGAATGAGGGGAAATTTGGAGAGGGGAATGGGGGGAAATGAGGGGAAAATTGAAGGGGGAAAATGAGGGGGAACTGGGGTTTCTAAAAACTTGAAAAAAAGTCAGGGAAAATTAAGGAAAATTCAGAAAATGGGGGACTTTCTAAAAAAGGAGAATGTCCAAAAAATCAGGGGAAAAATCAGAAATTTTGGGATAAGTTAGGGAGAGATATTTCAGGAAATTAGGAATAATTGGAAAAAAAATTAATTCACTTTTTTGATAATTCAATGTGCATTGGAAAGTGCCAAAGTGGGGCAATGTAGCAATGTATGTTTCAGTGTTAGAAAAGTCTCCCACCATGTTTTGGTGAGTGTCAGGGCACAGCCCCTCACTATTCCACAATCCCGCATGCATGCAGACCCATGGGAAAGTTCTGGGCAAGTTACTCACCCAGAAACCATCACAGCCACAACTGTGGGAACTTTCTGGGTGAGCAGCTCGTTCCCACGGGGGGGGGGGTGCCATTTATGGAAAGTCAATAAAGAGCTGAAAACTGTATAGTTCCTGGCTCCCATTTGTAGAGGAGGTTGAGAAGGTTTAGCCCCCTCAGTGAGTTTGAGGATCTCGGACTGGGACTAGATGCCCCAGCAACTAGGAGGATCCCCCTGGGCCCGTCACAGAACAAGGGCTGGGCCCTGACAGTGAGCCAAATAACCATGGCTTTTTGACCATGGGAAATTTGGTGTCAAAGGCTTGGATGATATCTGAAGAATACATCAGCTTTTTGTTTGCTTTATTGGGTGGTATTTTCAATTTACTTCATTTGGAACACTTTGTTAAAACTGATTTATACCCTACATAACATGCATGGTTACATTGCCACACTTTGGTGCTTTCCAATTCACATAGAATCATCAAAATTGGTTGAGTTTTGAGCAAGAAATGAGATGAAAGATAAAGTGCAAATTTTTGAATTTCAGAGTTTTCCTCATATTTTGTAAATAGCAATAAACAAATAAGGTGCTGATTTTAGTAAACACAAAAGGTATATGAGCTCTATGAGCCCACTGAGTTCATAGAGTTCATAGAGCTCATAGAGCTTTCAGAGCAATGACAATGGCCATTTTACACACATATATATCCATATTATCTTTGCACTACTGGTGCCAAAATAACTAAGCAGATTTCATGGAGATATGAAGACCATCCATGATTTAGAAACAAAAAGCTCTATGAGCTCTATGAGCTCACTGAGCTCATAGAGCTCATAGAGTGTTTCAAGTAATGATGCTGGCCATTTAATATGCATTTTCAAAAATGTATATACATATTATCTTTGCACTTCTGCATCCTTAGGAGAATAAAATCATTCAAACATTTAATTTTCTCCACCCAGTGTGTAGAGGGTGCACAGCAAAAAGACTCAATTTGCTCACAGAGCTCTGAGAGCTCTGAGAGCTCCAAGAGCTCCCTACCAAGTTTGCTGATGAAAAATGTATATACATAAAGGAGAACAAAATCATTTATATATTTAATTTTCTCCACCCAATGTGTAGAGGGTGCACAGCAAAAAGACTGAATTTGCTCACAGAGCTCTGTGAGCTCCCTCCCAAGTTTGCTGAAAGACTTGTCCATCTGCAAATTAGGGCATCAATGTGCTGCTTGGCACAGTGCTCCTGGGAAGAGTTGTTGAGGTTGAAGCCCTCCAATCATTGAGTCTCAATGTCCCCTTTAGAATCCAGCCTCTGACAATAGAGTCTTGAGTGGTCTTCCATGATCTGCCTCAAGTTGTGTGAGATATTGATTCATTAATCAACTTGACTCCTTTAGGGTATCCTTGATTGTAGTCACTATGCATTTTCTGCCTGAGTAACTTGGAAAAAGCAGGTGACATTCCTGCATGTATGCAGGGAACAAATCCTCCTCCAGTTGTGGTGATGCTGAGCTCTGGAGCGTTCAGATGTCTTGCATGGATTTGTAAATAAGGGAGTTCTGTTCCTAATCCCTGGTTGTCAGGGCATGCCACTCCACTCCCTCCCTTTTTCCCTCCTTCCTCCTTTCCTTCTTCTTTTCTTTCCTTATATGGACGCCTTCCTTTCTTACACTTGTAGCATGGACGCATCCGATGCTGAGTACCCTGCATGGTGCTGTGCCGCCAGATGTGCCACACATCTCTACTTGTACCTCTTTTCCCTAAGCGCTCAGGATCACCCGCTGTAAGGGATGGGTGGTGGAGTGGTGGTGTGCACTTTGCATGCTTACTTTATTTGTTCTTTATTCTTTGTATACAATGTAAACAACTGTATTTACATGTGTATGGCTTGGGCTCAGGTAAAGGGTTCTTCACTCTTTACCCTCACCCTGATGTCGAATCATAAGCTCCATACAGCCCAGATCTCGACATTCTGAGGATTGAGTCAACCCAGGCCAGCACCCCAACTGGCCTTACACCTGCAGAGCCACCTGTGATAGCATGGCTCTGTCCGAGGCTGACGTGGCACCTTCATGTGACCTGTTCCCACTTGTATATAAACTGAGCCGAAGCAGAACTGAAGAAGTAACCTTCTTCTCATTCCTGCTTCAGGAAGTACCTTAGATTAGTCTAGTTTAGCTTTCCATTCTAATGATAACATTCCTGCTTCAGTCTAAGAAGCCAGAACAGGGACATGAGCCTGAGTGAGGGCTGCCTGCTATACATTCCCATCACCCTGCTGCTGTGTCAGGGCAATAGCCCCGAACCCCGAGTCACATGTAAACTAGATAGATATAGTCACGTGGACAAGCGGGAACCTCCGGGTAACCGCTTACACACCACCGTAAAATACATCATCTTGTATCACTTACGGCTTTGTGTGCTGAGCAACCCCAAAGACCTCACATGCTGCCTGGGCTGCTAGCGCTGCAGGCTACTCTGCTACCCCCACCTCTCTTGTGCCGTCCCTGACAGCAGAAGAAGGTTTCAACCTAGTCTCCCCTGCCTCCTCTAGCATGGTGACTGAAGAGCAGTACCAGGACCTGCTGACCAGGTTCCAGGAACTGCAAGCCATCCTTGGGAGCAGAATCCAAAACCCACTGCCTGTGTCCGCATCTGCACCTGCACCCACACCCACACCAAAACCCAAAGCACCCAAGGTTGCTCCCCCCACCGCCTTCGCTGGTGCAAGCAAGGACCTTGACTGCTTTAAGGTGGAATGTGGGATCTACTTCCACATCCACATGGCAGAGTTCCCCAACACTCTGTCCCAAATCCTCTTCATCTTATTGTACATGAGAGGAGCTGTGGGAGCATGGGTGACTGTCAGGGACTGACCCAGGGTCGAGAGCGTTGTTGTGGGGACAACTCCGTGTACCGCAAAAAGTCGGATTCTGTGGAATTTGGTCACCAACATGCAGTACATATCCGCTGACGCTCACGATACTCATTCTATCACTATCCAACACTCCTTACACTCATTCCATATTTTTCCATATTTTCCCCATCATTCCCGACAACCCCAAGCAAAATTCCCATGCCCAACCACGCCGCCAATTTCACCCCCTCTCCAGATCTCCATACCTAC